TCCAATGCAGTCTGGCACATGGTCCAGTTTATTTTGATGTCTATCCTAATCTAAGTCTTTCATTAACTGATGTTAATATTCTTGATGCTTTAACATTAAATGTTAAAACTAATGGTTATAACTATGCTGCAGGAACAGAAGTTTTCTGTATTTGCTATAGAGTTTATTTCAAACCCTTATTTACTCTTAACCCAAGGTGTAAAAGAGTTGATAAAGATAAAAATGAGACTATTCTCATAGAAACCAATTTTAATAGATCTAAGATCCAAACCCGTAGATCTATCAAATGGGATGAAATAGTTTTCCCTGAAGGATGGTTTCTTGCTAGGAATATCCCTAGACAACCGATAGTTCAAAGTGATTTTAGCAATATCACTCAGACAGACGATGGAACTGTCTATGTCCAATTCGATGATCCTCGCAATATTCCTTATACGGAGACCAGACCTCTTTTAAGGTCTCATTCGTTGTCTCATGGGATTCATAGCTTTATCTCTCCTTTTGGAACTAAAGCTAGTCAGCCTTCTAGAGCCTCAACCTCCTATTTGCGAGAAACTTAGGTCCAATCTTCTGAGCCCGAAGAACATATTGAATCTTCTTCTCAACAACCTATTGATGAACTTAGAGTTCATAGAAATGGTATTGTTCATAACAATCCAATCACCCAAACGGGTAACATTAGTATTAGACAACCTCATAAGGTTATAGAGACCATGTCTGATTTTACCCTCTAAAGTTTTTAATGAATTTTTCTTCTACAAGAAGTTGGGTCACTAGTGAGGGAAAAATAGATTTCACTCATGGTTCTCCTGCTAGACAGCTTGTCTGCAATGATTATTACGGTAATCCAAAATGGGCTCCTTTTCGGACTTGGTATGTTGAAAATTTTTCAAAAGAAGAAATTGCTAATTTCTCTGCAGAATTTTATGCCTTCTGTACTAAGGAAAATGAGACTTTCTCWTTTATTCCTTGGTTTTTTCATACTCATGTAAAACATTTTATAAATGTTCTTCAAAGAGATTATCAACTCCTTAATGGGGATATTAAATCCACTATTTATCCTCCTCAGTCTCCTTTTCTTATGAAAAATAATAATTCTTTCTTCAGATTCTCTGCTTTTTCAAATCTTATAAAAGATAATACTCTTTATGTTACTTCGTTACATATTAACGAATTACTTGAAAAACAGAATTATTCTAATCTTATGCTCAAAATTCTTGGCGAACAACTTTTTTCCATAGAGGATAATATTTCCTTAATCTTAAAAAAAATTTCTCAAATTGAGACAAATCAGCAGAACCAAATTAATATTCCTGCTGATGATATTTCCTCCTCTTCTGAAAAAGTTATTTTAACTTCTAATACTATTCAGCCTCCTCCTGAGATAACAGATTTCAAACTCAAATCTCCGGTTGAAGATTTTATGAAACAGCTTGATCTAAAGCTTTCACATCTGCATATTTCTAAACCATCCATTTCCATGCTTAATAAGGATTCCCATTCTGACTCTAAGTTAGAAAATTCGCATGATGGTTTGCAAAATAACCAAATTCATAAAATGAAATGGGCTAAAACTCCGAATCTTAATAAATATTATTAYAATCGCCCTACTCCTATGGATGTTCTTCATGAAGAACAAGAATACATTATTAACAATAGTTATAATGGCAAATGCATTTATGAGTGGAGTCTTGATGGGTTTACTGATAAGCATATTTATAATATGGCTCATCGCATGTTCATGTATAGTACAGTATGCAAGAACACAGGCAATAATGATAAGAGTATTGCCAAAATGATTATAGCTGGTTTTACTGGCCAACTAAAAGGTTGGTGGGATAATTATATTCCCCTTGATCAGATTTGAGATGCTCTTACCCGATAAATGAGGATGATTACTCTTACCCGATAAGTATTTTACCAATTTATAAACGCTTACCATTATTCCATTTTGATGACCGATAATATGTCACCCCATAAGGCAAGTAAAAGCGGTGACTTTTGCTTATAAGCGTTCGGTAAACGAATCTTCAGTTTAATGACAACTTTGGGTTGTAAGAAAAGGTGAACAACATTTTAAACCCTTTTAAGAAACCATCAATTAAATTGATGTACTTTTTTTTTAATAAAAAGTTCAAATTTTTTGAACTTTCGCTCGAAGAAATTATAAAAAATGTATTTTTATAATCGAAACAAATAACAGTAAAGTAACACTACATTTGATAAAAACATTTATCAGCTTTCAAGTCACAAAGTTATTTATTGGTCATAAAGGATGTGCGTGATTTAGGTTTGGTAGGTTAAAGCGGTAAACCATTAGTCAGCCAGTACATCGAGCAAGATAAAACTAACTACAAAATAGTTCAGTTTAGTTTGTTTAATGATTTGAGCTACAAATGAAATTAGTATTTTTAAAATGAAACGAGCTACACATCTATACGTATTGTCATATAATATAAAGTTTTCTGAAAACAAAAAAGGAATAACAAAGTGAGAACGAATCATTATTGTTCAAAAATACTAAATGGAAACTAAGCATTAGACTATTTACATATATATATCTATACTTATAATAAATAAGTAACTTGGGAGACATGTGTCATCTTCTAATGAGTCGGTTTTCTTGTTTTCCCGTTTAAACACTTATCTAGACACAATTTACATTAGTGGTTCAATTAGATTCATTTGAACGTATCTAGACACAATTTACATTAACAGTTTAATTATACTCATTTGATTGACATGTATCATCTTATTCAATCAATCCCACTAATTTATGATGCAATTAATTTTATTCTTGGTGTAACAGTTCAATTATACTAATTTGATTGACATGTGTCATCTTATTCAATCAATCCCACTAATTTAGGATGCAATTAATTTTATTCTTGGGTTAATTAATTCATGTGGTAACTGATTCCCGAAAAAAATGGTGTAACTTCTAAGTTTAAATTCAATTTACCGATATAGTTTCATTTCTAAATTCAATTTTATTCTAGAGTTAACTTCATTTTATTCTAAATTCAATTTACTGAAAAATTTACTTCAGAGTTATTTCAAGAGAACAAGTATGGAGTCATTTTTCAGAGTTACCTCACCCATACTCTGAAGTTTGCTTTTTCAGACATAGCTCACCCGTACCCTGGAGTCTGAAATCTGAAGTCTTCTTTTTCAAACTTAGAAGTCTGAACTCTAAAGTCTTTTACAATTCTGAAGAGTACAAGTCTGAAGTCATTCTTCAGAGTTAGCTCACCCTATTTCTGAAGTCTTCTTTTCAGACTTAGCTCACCCGAACTCTGAACTCTGAAGTCTTTTTTTTTCATACTTAGAAGTCTGAACTCTGATTTAATGGGATTGATTTTATACTTCAGAGTTATTTCAAGAGTACAAGTCTGAAGAGTCATTCTTCAAAGTTTTATTTCAGAGTTATTTCTAGAGTACAAGTCTGAAGAGTCATTCTTCAGAGTTTTATTTCAGAGTTATTTCCAGAGTACAAGTCTGAAGATTCATTTCAGAGTTTTATTTCATAGTTATTTCAAGAGTACAAGTCTGAAGAGTCATTATTCAGAGTTAGTTCACCTGAACTCTGAAGTCTTCTTTTTCAGACGAAGCACCATGCAGAGCCTTTGCATAGTGCATGAAGAGCTTCTGCCTTACCTATACAAAGCTTTGAAGTCTAAAGAATTTTATTTCAGAGTTATTTCTAGAGTACAAGTCTGAAGTCATTCTTCAGAGTTACACTTCAGAGTTATTTCATTAGTACAAGTCAGAAGAGTCATTCTAAATTTACTTCTAAGTTTAAATTCAATTTACTGATATAGTTTCATTTCTAAATTTAATTTTATTCTAGGGTTAACTTCATTTTAACTAATTATTGATATAGTTTCATTTCTAAATTCAAGTCTAAAGAGTCATTTTTCAGAGTTATTCTTCTGAACTAGTTCAAGAGTACAAGTCTGAATTACCATCGCACTTTCGATGATCATTCATATCTGTAAGATAAGTTCCTGACATGATTTAATTTTTTCAAATTACCTAATACACAAGATCTAACCTAGTGTATATATATATATATATATATATATAGATATATATATAAAATATGATATGATATTTTTTTCATTGTGATTACTTTTTCAAATAGTGTTCTTGATGAAAAGCCTTCAGCTGGTTAAAATGATATCATTCAAATTACCATCCAAAGCCCTTTATCAAATAATTATTTTTCATTACTCAATTGTAGACAGAGTCTCTAATCAATTCAGACCTCATATTCAGCCAATTTTATCAAATAGTCACCATCTTTTCTGGCTTTTTAGAAGGTATCATCATATGGTACTAAGGGTCAATCACATCTCTATAGAATCAACTTACAATAGTTAAGCTCTTTTTTCCACTTGTATTTTACAACATTTATGAAGTTCTGTATATGTAAGTGGTCTTACGTTATATAAAAAAGAATGTGGCATATACGCATTTCAATTTAAAAACCTTCTTGAACCTTGCAGCCTCATCTCATTCCAACCATTAAAACCTCCAAATTTACTTCAATCTTGGTCCTTCAGCCAAATATAAGCCATTCAATTACAACCTTTAATTCATTATTGGGGATTCAAACCAAGCACAACCGTTCAAGACTCACAAACAGCAAAAAAGGCACTATCATACATCACAGCAAACCAATCTCCAACATCATAAACTAAAAAGTTCCATCGAATTTGATGAAAAACAGCACAATTATCCTACACAAACAAGACAAATCAACCATGGATACACACGCATACACAATAATACTTGCATGTATAGACCAACAAACGCAAAAACTACGTAATTCAAAAGGATAAGAATCAAGAACAACAAACTAAGAGCAACTGATCACTAAGCAAACCCACAAACCTTAAAAGATTGTTGCACCATAAGTGTTTGTGAATGTAAAAAACACACTGTGAGAGTGAATATACGAACCCATAACGCAATATAGTTTTATAAACGATACTAACCTTGTTCCTCGCAACTCTTCTTGCTCGCTATTCGAATCGATTCGATAGGTTCCTGATATCTGCCTAGATTTTCTTCAAATCCCTAATTTATAAGCTTTTGTGAACTTGAATTGGATCATCCTGCGAGCCTTTACAGCCAAGTTCTTGAATTGGGCCATAATAAGCCCAGTTCTTAACAAATTAACCTATTTAAAAAAAAGGTAAAATGCACAAAATAACAATTTATTTTTATAAATTATTTTATTATAGCATTGTATTTTTAGTTTTTTATTATAATAATATACTTTTAAATTATTTTTTATTAGAATATTGTATTTAGAAAAAATTACCTATTATAGTATTAAGTAATCTTTTGATTTAAATTTACCCATTATACTAGGTTTCCATACCACCTCATTGTCCACATAGGTTGTCCACATGTACTATAGTGATGAGACTTTTTTATTACAACATTGTACTTTTATAATTATTTTATTATTACATTTACTAGTTTTTATCAAAAAAATGTACTTTTAATTTTAATATTTAGACATTTTACATGTTATTTAATAAATATATTAAATGAATTAAAAAAATTCTAAATTATTCGTTAATATACCAATATTAATAAAACTAGTAGAAGACAACTTATCTCACTAATATTTTTTTTAAAATATTTGTTTTTTGAAAAAAAAAAGAATTGTTCATTTTTTACCAAGAAAATATTATCTTTTAAAGAATATATTATATTTGTTCAAAAAAATTTACTTGACGTATAAATATATTAAATTAATTATATTTTTTTGAATTATTTATTAATATAACAATATTAAAAAATTGTAGAACATAGTTTATTTCGTTAACATTTTAGAGAGAACTTTAAAAGATATATATTTTTTGAAAAACATAAAATAAGAAGTGTTACTTTTTTTTACAGAAAAAATATATCTAAAAAATAATGTAGCATATTTATTTAAGAAATAATTTACTTTAGAATATTTAATTTGCATGCAACTTAACAAGAAAAGATCAAAAAATTAAGTGTTTTTTTTAAATCATAGCACTAAAAAATAAAAATCACTAATAATAATTTGAAATAGGTTTTTGTTTTTATTTTAATTAAGTCATCAAAATGATGTGTCATCCACATCACCTCATTAAAGCCACAAAAAAAAGTGTTGGTCCCGTAAGGGTCTACAAGAATAGAAACAATTTGTAGAAAGGGGGGGGGATGAATACAAACACAATATTTTCAAATTTAAAATATATATTGATAGAGAAGATCGATACAGGTTTTACAAGACTATTTACGGAAAGATAAGGTAATGAAAACCTATCTAAACAATCTTTGGTTACACACAGAGTTTTAGCAAATACAAGAAAAGAGATTGCTAAAAGAAGAATCCTTTACTTAAGCTAGAAGATGTTTGAAGTAAGAATAGGGTTAGAGAGAGATGCGCGCCCTCTGCATGGAGAAGAAACACTTCTATTTATACCCAGTGCATTAAATGATCATTTAATGCAATATTGTAGGTTATAGAGTGCGTGTCAAGCCTTAAGAGGAAGACTTGTTCTTTGCTACAGTGAATAGTACAAAAGCATTATTTTTGAGCAGACATCCTTACCTAAAGTTGGTGGACAAAGGGTCGACTAATCGGCTCCGTACCGTACTAACTTTTGCAATGGTATGAGTTTGTCCTTTGTGTGCATAAGAACAAGACAACAACAATCGTGCTAAACAAGCTTCTTTTGATCGCTGAATGTTGGAATGACCTGGAGGTCTCATCATCATTCGCTGAAACTAGAGCAGTCTTCACACATATGTAGACATGCTTGTAATCACTGAATATCGCTTCAGATCACGTACTTGCCAGTCTCTAATCTTCAGTTTCAGTCTTCGACGTTCGCTGAAGGTTCTGTGGTGTGAGTGTTGTCTTCTTGAAGTAAAGTTGTCTCTGATGAATTTACAATACAAGTTCTTCAGCGATCACTGAACATACTCAGTGATGATCGCTGGAACTGAAAATACAGAAACACAAATACAACGTGAAAGGAAAAAGGGATTATCATCAAATCACTGAGAGAGATGATCAACAATCTCCCTCTATTTGATGATAACAAGATAACATAAAGAAAATTATCTTATCAAATAATAGCAAGGAAAAGTTACACATAAAGTACATGTCCTTTTTTACTATTTTGGGATCTTTTTCAGTTTGGATAGTCTCAGCTTGAGAAGTTTTCTTAAGTTATATCTAAGAAAATTACAAGTACGGAAACTGAAACTGAAAGCTTATTCACTGACTTATAGATTGTCAGTGAACAAAAAAAGTAACATCGGAACTCATAGACTTGTGTCCCTATTACTTTTAAGACAACAATCCCTACATTCTCATTCTCAAGATTCATGAATTGCTTTCTTTTCTCCAGTCTAGGGGTGAACAAAAAACCGTCAACCCGCGAAACCCGCCCAACCCAACCCGCTAACAACCCAATTAAACCCAACCCGTCTACCCGCCAAACCGTCCACCCGCCAAACCGCTAACCCGCCAATTAGGAGGGTTGAAATTGGGTTGAGCCTAGCTCAACCCGCCCAACCCGTCAACCCGCCGCTAATATATAATTTTTATAAAATTATATATATATGTATATATATATATATATATGTATATATGTATATATTTATTATGTATATATATTAATAATGTATAATTTTATATAATTTTTATTGATATTATATTTTGTTCCGTTTTAACTAAACATATAGTTACCAAAAGAGATTCACGATCAAAGAATGATGACAAAGAATCTAATTAATAAGGAAAATTATTGATTTGTTTTGTAGAAAACAACAAATTGATATATTGGAAAATATGAATGATATTGATAGATATTTGATGGACGAATCCATCAATCTATGACGTTTTTAAAGAGTTACATTAGAAAAATGTCTTATCTAAAAGAGTTTCAATATGTTTATAGGATGGTTTTGGACGTCTTAACAAATTMTATGATGCTTTTAAAATAAAGTGTCGTATTAGTTATTTTATACAACACGACTTGAAAAAGTGTCATATGAGCATAGGTGTCCTATAAATAGATGAGTTTACGGGACACT